ACGGTCTGTAAATAATCGAGTCTGGACAAGGATACCGATATTGCAAAAGTGTTCATGTGAATCATAAAACTCTGCATCGTCATGTTTCCATACCATCTACTATTAGCTTACTTTGTCGAATGAAGACAGACATAATGTCAAGATGTCAAGATCGGTCTGTGTAATCAAGTAACGCCCCCTCTTCACTCAAAGTCTGGGTATCAGATTGTAGTTGGACTGAAATTAACTGTTTTAAGGAAATATGTTATCTCACAATACCCCTATACTTGTGTTCATGCTTTGCAGGGGCGGTGAGGTAGCCTAATGGGTAGAGCGTTCGCTTGTCACGCCGAAGACCCGGATTCGATTCCCAACATGTGTGAAGCCAATACCTGATGTTCCCTGCCGTGATATTGCTGGGAAATATTGCTAAAAGCGGCGTAAAATTAAACTCACTCACTCATGCTTTACAAATCCATGTTGGTGTTTTTTAGGATGAGAGTCTTACTGACAAGTACAGGTGCTCATATGAAAGGATCGATAAACATTGAATGTCGTGCTTCCTTTCACTGAATAAACAACGGCCGTTGTATGTAAGGCCAAGACAAATCGACTGTTTGTTCGTCCCAACAGCATGTTTGCTGTGTGACTTCTGGAGAGAAAACACGATTTGATTGTTTAAACCGATGAGCGCGAATAACGGCATTGTTGCGTAAAAGCGATATTGCATTGTGATATTGAAGCCATCGTCCAAATATTCCCAAAGGCCAAAAACTATGTACCCAAGACAAGTAAGACTTAATTGCAATTATTTATATGACGCTAATCTCCATTTTTCATTTTCATCACCACCGTACACCGACTCGTCAGCCAGCCTGCATCACTATGTCTGCATGTATAAGCAATACAGTCAAGATGTTTGTTTGTCTGTTATCTGACAGCACACTCAGCAGTATAACAGCTATCTACAGCGGTCGGTAAATAATCCAGCCCAGACCCGATAATCCACTGACTGGCATCATGCGCGTCGTCCCACGCAATTTTGATTTAACAGGTGTCAGCCAAGTCTTCGAGTCAGACCATGGTTGTTATTGAATACCAATTCTAACACAGATCTTGCCATCAGTGTAGACACTTGCCATCGTATCCCAATTGCGCAGATCGATGATCATGATGTTGATCACTTGATTGTCTGGTCCAGACTCGATTATTTACAGACCGCTGCCATATGGCTGGAATATTGTTGAGTGCGGCGTAAAACAACAACTAAATAACCATCAATGCAGGATGACTTTATTCTCAAATGCAGTGTGTTTATTCTGACGGCAACCTGACACTATATCACTGTTCCCTTCTTGTCCTTGTGAGTCTTATACATGTACCAATGCGGGCGTTAGGGTAGCCTAGTGGATAAAGCATTCACCCGTCACGCCGAAGACCCGAGTTCGATTCCCCACATGGGCACAATGCGTGAAGCTCATTTCTGGTGTCCTCAGCCCTGATATTGCTGCAATATTGCTAAAAGTGGCGTAAAACTAAACTCACTCACTTATTTATACCGATACATGTACATTACAGCTTAGTGTAACTGGTATCTACATTATAACTTACTACATGTACATCATATCTTATGCTACACGTGGAATCTCTTAATGGTTTTTCAAACAATCCTAAGTTATATTTGGTATGGTGTATTTTGCTCACAAGTGCATTTTGTCAGTGAATTTGAACTATAGCCTTCAAATGGCTTTGATGGTAAAGGTATAAATAATGCTTAACAAGTGAGATGAAATAATTAATATTATTACATTTTATCGTGATAAGAATATTTTTTTACAAGCTCAGAATCATTCAGTATTGCTGCCTGCTGTATAGAACGAGATGTTTTTTTCGTGAGCGTATCGCCCGAACGCAACAGAAGAACACAAAGCTCCGTGAAACCCTATTTACTCAACCTTGAAGATCCCCAAGATCAGAATTTGTGAGCAGTAACATGAAGTCCTCTCACAAGGCGGGGAAGCCGTTTTAGTTTTCCAAATATTTTTATATTCCCAAAGTCGAAAACATTTTGGCGTTGGTTGAATGGTGAAGTGATCCTTCTACGAAATGAAACTGTGAAGGAACGTACTTGAATGTCCGTTATATCTGAATCGGGTAAATATGTCATTTATAAGCTTAGTTTGTGTTTTATATATGCATGGTGTATACTTCGTTCATAATTAAAGATGTGTGATTGGTTTATATATTTACATGTTATGTCTGATACGTGTTTGTGCTGGGTAAACATGATATTGGTATGGTTTGTTTGTGATGCATGTCTATTGTACATTATAATACACATGATTACAATGCATGCTTGATGCATCTTTAGTTGATATTAGAGATATGTGATTGGTTGATATAGATTGTCCGTTATAGTTGTGCTAGGTAAACATGAGATTGGTATGTTTTGTTTGTGATGCATGTCTATTGTACATTATAATACACATGATTATAATGCATGCTTGATGCATCTTTAGTTGATATTAGAGATATGTGATTGGTTGATATAGATTGTCCGTTATAGTTGTGCTGGGTAAACATGAGATTGGTATGTTTTGCATTTGATTATTATGCATGTTTGGTGTATGTTCAGTTCATATCTAGAGATGTGTGATTGGTGTATATTTTATTATGATTATCTGGATTGTCCCTTACAGTTGTACTGGGTAAACACGAGATTTGTATGTTTTTTGTGATGCGTGTTTAGTGTTTATTGTTCGTTTTCACTGTGCTAGGTAAACATTGATTTGTATGTTTAGATGTTTAGTTCATGGTACATGTCTAACGTATGGTTCATTTTGTGCATAAATGGTTTATATTCGTGATAGGATAGAATATGTGTAATTAATTCATCTTGGGTAGACACGTGCATTTTCAACGCATAATTAGTGGGGTTGGATATGCTTCTGTTATTGTTATACTTTTTGTAGATGCCTTTACAGCACGTGCACCTTCCCACTTTTTGATTGAACAGCGCATTGATCGTCGATATTTTAACGACAACTACACGTGATTGGGCAAGATGAGTTTGGTGTTTTTGGATTGCCATTTTGTTAAGATATATGCAATGTGTGTATTTTCGCCATGTAATGATGGGACAGGATATGCCACTTTTGCTGTATGAGCAGTGGCTTAGCCTTGAGGTGAAAAGCGTTCGTTCGTCACGAGAAGACCATTGTTCGATTCCGTACATGGGTGCTTGACTATTGCTAAAAGCAACATGTGTAGTTGATTACATTGATGGAATAAGACAAAATTTCATTGCATTGATACCTGGTTTAGATCACTTTGAAGTACGTTTTATCTAATTAGTAACAATATTAGATTCAATATCCAAGTAAGAGAGAGAGAGAGAGACCCCACCCACACACACACACACATACAAGAGCACAAGCACACAGGTAGCGTTGGAATTATGCTGATTGCTGTCATGATAGCCTCCGCTTGTTTGAATAATAAAGTAATGGTGGGCTCAAACTAAGGAATGGTACTTACGACCCCACGGTACGACATTATCATAACTTACTGGAGTTGAAACAGAAGTGATCATGTGTAATTCCATAATTACGTTATTCGTACCTTTGTAATAACATAACGTCATATTCAAGAAGATGGAAACTTTGCTAAATTACTCTAATGCGCTAATTATGAAGATGTCAAGCAGCAATAATATTTGCTTTTGTCAAATCCTCCTACATTTTCCTTTCAGATTTTAATCTGCCGTACAATGTCAGCAGTGACATTCTCTGGAACAATAGACGAACACTGTTAATGTTTGGAGTAAATCTGAAATATTCCCTACAATGACAGGAGTGACATTCTCTGGAACAATAGACGAACACCGTGAATGTTTGGAGTAAATCTGAAATATTCCTTACAATGACAGAAGTGACATTCTCTGGAACAATAGACGAACACCGTGAATGTTTGGAGTAAATGTGACATATTCCCTACAATGACAGGAGTGACATTCTCTGGAACATTAGACGAACACCGTGAATGTTTGGAGTAAATGTGACATATTCCCTACAATGACAGGAGTGACATTCTCTGGAACAATAGACGAACTCCGTGAATGTTTGGAGTAAATCTGAAAGATTCCCTACAATGACAGGAGTGACATTCTCTGGAACAATAGACGAACACCGTGAAAGTTTGGAGTAAATCTGAAATATTCCCTACAATGACAGGAGTGACATTCTCTGGAACAATAGACGAACACCGTGAAAGTTTGGAGTAAATCTGAAATATTCCCTACAATGACAGGAGATACATTCTCTGGAACAACAGACGAACACCGTGAATGTTTGGAGTAAATCTGAAATATTCCCTACAATGACAGGAGTGACATTCTCTTGAACAATAGAAGAACTCCGTGAATGTTTGGAGTAAATGAGACATATTCCCTACAATGACAGGAGTGACATTTTCTGGAATAATAGACGAACTCCGTGATTGTTTGGAGTAAATCTGAAATATTCCCTACAATGAGAGAAGTGACAGTCTCTGGAACAATAGACGAACTCCGTGAATGTTAGGAGTAAATCTGAAATATTTCCTACAATGACAGAAGTGACAGTCTCTGGAACAATAGACGAACTCCGTGAATGTTTGGAGGTAAATCTGAAATATTCCCTACAATGACAGAAGTTAAAGTCTCTGGAACAATAGACGAACTCCGTGAATGTTAGGAGTAAACCTGAAATATTCCCTGCAGTGACTTAGGTAATTGTCTGTTCACCTACTTAAACAATTAAACAATGAAGCGCTTACATGCAAATATTAGGAGGTGTTGGATAGGAATTGTCTTTGTAACTGTCGTACTTGCTACGTCATGTTTTAAGTTGTATACGTCACATAGTCAGTGTTTGACAGGGTTATCACATGTTGCCACTGCGTTACAACAATATGACTTTTCTGAGAAGACACCAACTATCAGCACACATGATCCTCCATCTGTCTCTATTCCTGTTGACCAAATGTTTTCAAAATGGCGACTAAAGAGTGCCCAAGATGATCTTCTCACGATCCCAGGAAGGGGGCGTTTTGGTAACGCCATGTTTCAATACGCATCGCTTCTAGGGATCGCCTGCCGCAATGGCAAGCGTCCAGTCATCTCCAGCAAGACGCCACTCCTGAAACTGTTCAACATCTCCTTCACCGATGACGCCGACACACATCGGTGGAAAGCCATCAGAGAAAGGCAATATGCTGGCTACGACGACCAGTTTGAAGACCTACCTAAAGGAAACGTGAAAATACTCAGTTTTTTTCCAGTCCTGGAAATATTTCGAGCCAATCAAATCTCAGATTCGAAAGGAATTCAAGCCAAACGGCATCTTTGCCAGACTGGCAACCAACTCCTTCAAACAATACACTACTCCATTTCCCAATCGAACTACCGTTGCTTTACATGTCCGGAGGACAGACATCAACCAAGCATGGTATCGAAAACGAGGCTATACAGCGGCTCCCCTGTCCTACATCCGGAAGGCAGTTGCGCACATGAGGTTAAAGTTCATCAACCCGGTGTTTCTTGTAGCAACAGATGACGAGGGCTGGTGCTCTGAACACCTAACTGCTCAAGACATTGTGATCATGCACAACATGAATGAATACGTTGATTTCGCTGCTATGACAATGTGCGATCACATGATAATGACGGTGGGAACCTTTGGGTGGTGGGCAGCCTGGCTTATCAATGGCTATACCGTGTATTACAACGGCTACCCGTTAGCTGGAACGGCCATAAGCAAAGGTTTTGAGAAAGGTGACTTTTACATGCCTCATTGGGTTCCAATGGGTAATTAATAATGAGTGAGTGAGTTTAGTTTTACGCCGAACTCAGCAATATTCCAGCTATATGGCGGCGGTCTGTAAATAATCGAGTCTGGACCAGACAAGCAAATGATGAGCATCGATCTACGCAATTGGGAGACGATGACATGTGTCAACCAAGTCAGCGAGCCTGACCACCCGATTCCGTTAGTCGCCTCTTACGACAAGCATGGGTTACTGAAGATCAATATTCTAACCCGGACCTTCACGGGTTTATTTGTTGAGAAAGGACATGAAGAGGGCATATTTAACTGCCTTTCTTTTTGTTTGTTTAGAAATCATTGCATTTTTAGATGGTTAAAGAAATTTATCGTCAATGATGTAAAAATACTTGCCATGATGTAAATTATGTTTTTTTATGGTTGGCGATTGATACGGTAACGTTTTTTAAGCACGTTTTCTGACTTTCGTGACCTTCGGTCATTGAATATACAGAAAGTTCAAAGCATGGTTGTGATTTTTTAATGGTTTTATTATTCTTTATTTTGCTTCATCAGAAATAAAAAGATCATTCGAAATTCAGTTCGTATATTAATAATGTCATTTACAAGAAATACATTTAAATCATGTTTGTGACACTCCCGTTAAAGCGAAATTTCCAGGCATTTGAGCATGTGAACTAAGTTATGCTATGCTATATTTCATTGGAAAAAAACCCAAAGGTTTCTTAATGATGATTTGGAGATTTTACGGGTGTTTTCCGACATGCTGCGTATTCCGGTTACTGAAAAGTTTCTTGCGTTTGTGTGAGCAGTAACTTAGAAAGAGAAGAACCTTATTAAGCCACGCTTACAAAATGACTGCTATATTCTGATTGGACGGTAATAGAATGGGCGTGGTTTGTGCTGCATTTCGGCACTGAACGACTGCTGAATAAATGTCAACACAATTACATTTTGTGTAGTCTGTTTTATGACAGCTGACTTCAATATTTTTACCTTTCATGAACTTTTGAACATAGAAGCGGGTGTGTACAACGGTTTCTACTTCATACTTGTGCAAATGAAAAATGAATTAGTCAGTTCAAATATTCGTAATACATATGTTATACAAACACAGTGATTTATTAATATGATTTCTTTTAAAGTCCCTTTGCGCGAATGCATTGCCCGGTATTCAGTGTGATGCCAGTGATGCCACCAATCAAAGATCAGACTAAGAGGATTTCATTTTACGACGCTTTGAACAGGATTTCTTACCTTGAAGACCCGGGCTAGAATTGATCTTCAGCAACATTTGATCAACAGCATGAGCATCGATCTACGCAAGTGGGATACTATGACATGTGTCCACCAAGTCAGCGAGCCTGACCACCCGATCCCGTTAATCGCCTCGTAAGGCAAGCATGGGTTACTGAAGATCAATTCTAACCCGGATCTTCACGGGTATATGTTGTCAAGTAAATCCAACATCTCATTTAGTGAAACACGAGTTTCGGGTATGTCAAATACATTTAGTTCTCACCCAATCAGTCTCAGATGAAAATGACGTTAGCAGTTTTACGAAGAGAGTGGTTATTTATTGACTTGAACTTAAATCCCTGAATAATGATATATTCATGCCAATAATGGTTGTCACCCCCCCCCCCCAACCCCATACACACACACCACACACACCCCACACCGCCTCTCCAATAAAAAAACTTGAAGGGGGTGACAACCATTATTGGCATGAGTATATTATCGAACTGAACACACAAGTCGTCAATGCTTCCACTCAATCACGTTTCAATCATCTGAATCGAACTTCTCTTTTTTTAAAACCAGTACCATTATTCCTAATAATGCTTTTAACAGGTCACACATGATTGACAGTCGGACTATCGATTAGGTGCGATAAACTAATTAAACGAAAACAAATCGATATTTCCAAATCAATGGAAAATATTGAAGTGATTGAGTTGTGACACATGGTTAAAATGCTTCAAAGCAGGGATTCAGGAACTGAAGGTATGAATAATACATTCATTGACATTCAAGAAGTTTCAGCTAGAGACATCAAATCGAAACCAGTTCATGCACGCCTTAACCTTATCGAACTTCATGACTGATGTTAATAAGCTAACGATTTCAGGGAGACGCCGAAATGCTTGAACGCATTTGGGACGGCGTTGTGTGTTTTGCTTTTTGTACCCGCAGAATCAGTTTCGACGGATAGTCGATAACCTATTCTTTGGCATAGGTTTGTATACGTATAACATTCGCAGATGTGTTAGTTTGAACATGTTTTGGTTTCCTTTCCCCATTAAAATAAAATGAAATTGAAATTCCGATATTGTAATAAGTATGTTATTAAGATAATTATGGAATTATTCTCTTGGTATTTATGTCCAATATGTTTGTGATTTGATTATTGTTTTGGTAAAGTATTTGTGATTAATTATATACTTTATTTGAGTTTATATTGAAAACTGCCCGTATTTATCATATAGAAGCGCCTCCATGGTGTAGCGGTTAGAGCGTCCGCCCGGAGAGCGGAAGGTCACGGGTTCGATCCCCGGCCGTGTCATACCAAAAGACGTTAAAGTATGTTACTTGTTGGTCCCTGCCTGGCGCTTGGAAAACCTATTCCATCAGTATAGGAAATCTCCACAATCTGCAGGGTCTAGTGTACGATGAGCATGTGTTTATGATTCCCTATCAAACAGTGATGACACCAGGTGCCTCGTTGGGGCGGTGGGGTAGCCTAGTGGTTAAATCGTCCGCTCGTCACGCCGAAGACCCAGGTTCGATTCCTCACATGGTTACAATGTGTGAAGCCAATTTCTGGTGTCCCCCGCCGTGATATTGCTGGAATGTTGCTAAAAGCGGTGTAAAACTACACTCACTCACTCACTAGGTGTCCCGTCAAAAGTACATGTAAAGGCAAGCAAACTGTTTACCTGACAGAAACCGGTACAAGTCAAAATGGGGATTTCATCGGACATCATTTTTGTCACTGGAGCGTTACATTTAAACATATCCTTCACATATACTCATGCCAATAATGGTTGTCACCCCCCTCCCCACCCCAACCATGAGTATATCTTCAAGACTGAAAAGTCTTGCTGAGGCATGATTGTTGTAAACGCGACAAAACAACATTAGGAAATGAGTAGCATATCATGTCAGATGAATACAGAATACAACACGTAGCCTATTGCAACGTCCGAGTACGTTACCAGACAAAGTGAGACCCGTGGAGATTCGGGTTAGAATTGGTCTTCAGTAACCCATGCGTGTCGTAAGAGGCGACTAACGGGATCGGGTGTCCAGGCTCGCTGACTTGCTTGACACATGTCATCGGTTCCCAATTGCGTAGATCGATTCTCATGCTGTTGATCACTGGATTGTTTGGTCCAGACTCGATGTTTTCCTGCCGCCGCCATATAGATTGAATATTTGTGAGTGAGGCATAAAACTAAACTCACTCACTCACCTAGACAAAGTACCATTATTGGAGCAACCTTCGACCTTCTGGAAGATCTGACAGCCACTAGGCGCAACACCGTAGACCACTACCCCAATCATGTTCCTCGCACGTGCAAGGGACCACCAAGTGTGAACATACAGATTTCACTAACCAGTCAATGTATCGATTTTCCAAACCTCGCAAATGAAGTAGCATGAAAGTTTAATTACATTGTTCAATAAATTCCCGTCCTTGGATCTCATAAATGATTTTATTCTAAGGTTGCTGCAGAAAACAATGCCGACCTTCAATTAACAATGTTCAGTTGCGTCGCTCAAAGAATTTAACGATTATTAAGTTTGTATACCCACCGCATCGGAAACAGAGCTCTTTCGGGGAAGATGAACGTTGCTTTGTTTTCATCAACCTCTCTTGAGTAGTATCCCATGGCAACAAATCACACAGCAGACAATGATGCGTCACGTTGCCTTTCTTCGGTTTTCCAAGTACGAGTGAGTGAGTGTGTTTGGTTTTACGCTGCTTTTAGCAATATTCCCTCAATATCACAGCGTGGGACGCCAGAAATGGGCTTCACACATTGTACCCATTTGGGGAATCGAACCCGGGTCTTCGGCATGACGAGCGAACGCTTTAACCACTAGACTACCCCACCGCCCCTTTCCTAGTACGAAGCTCCAAACTATATGTATCAACAATCAATGTCAATGTGTTTATTAGAGCTCCAGGGAATGAGGGAGATAGAGTGAATAAAGAGAAAAACAGATTTTTTATGGATCTTTTCTTTTTTATTCTTTATCACGATGTTTCAGAGCTAATTCTGCTCCTTCATCAGATATGCTCCTTTATCTTCACCATTCACCTGATGAAGTCGGAAGAATTAGCTCTGAGACGTCGTGATACATAATAGAAAAAAGTTGTTACAAATAAAACGTGTCATGTATTTAATAGATAGCAGCTACACTGAGCTGCAATACACATGTATTGATGTAAGGCTCACGAGAACAAGATTTGGATTTTGGATGTTGTTTAACGACACACTCAGCAATTTTCCAGCTATATGGCGGCGCTCTGTAAATAATCGTGATCGGACCAGACAAGCCAGTGATCAACAGCATGAACATCGATCTACTCAATTGGGAACCGATGACATGTGTAAACCAAGTCAGCGAGCCTGACCACCCGATCCCGTTAGTCACCTCTTACGACAAGCATGGGTTACTGAAGATCAATTCTAACCCGGATTTTCACGGGTTGTTTTTCTCTGTGACCATTCTCCCGATTGACGTATGCTTCTTTGGAACTGAACGGGCATTGTCCAAACAGACAAACAACAAAGAGTCTGGACGCTTTCACCTGCGGTAAAGATTTGTTTTAATCTCAGTAGGGCGCCGCTGTGGTGGAGACGTTGCTGGGAGAGTGAAAGGTCTGTTTCGATCGACTTGCCATATGTTCGAAGAATATGACAAAATATGCTACTTGTGGTAACCATTAAATGGGATAAAACAAGCAATGGTCGTCCAGGATATAATGTGTACTTTGTCTGGGTTGGTATGCATGGTATT